ATAATTTAAAATAATACTATTTCACTTCTCCTTAAGTAGGTCCGTCTTCTTGTTTTCAATTCGTGATTGCATTGGCGTATGTAACTAAGCTAACGAACAAGAATAAGGAATATGATTGGTGGCTTTGTGGTGCATCCTTTTTGTTTTTATTTTGTACGGCTTCTCATGAGATATTTGGTATAAATGAGTTAGTTTAATAATAATAATAATAATACTTACATACAAGATTGTGGAAATCGAGATCAGCGTTATGTGAGGCGTAAAAGCATAGTCGTACCGGTAGTTATGGGAGCTCTGGGATTTGTGTCTACAAAAATGTTGTGTAAAAACTTGGGTCATTCAAAATACTGGGAAGTGCAGGGCATTGATTTATTGTTAGCATCCCACATTTTGCGATATAAGTATTCGCCGATAGACCTGCTCCCTAGGAAGCTGGTCACAACTCGGAGTATATTTTCATATTCGATTGCGGCAGACGTTGTCTGTACCGAGGAGGCTGCAGGTTTGAGTCCTGCGTATACATGGTCGTATTTGTGATTGTCCCTCAACCCATCATCATCATCATTATCATCATCATCATCCTATCTTCCCATTATTCGTAATTCAAGACGTAATAACCTTGACGTAATAAGGGAGACAACCGAAAAAAAAGCTGATCCCCGTAATGACACACGTTAATATCTTTGGGATAAATATGACTGGGTCTCGGAAGGTGTGTAGCGTGGTCATTAATTATACGATTTATATAATAATAATAATAATAACAATAACAATAACAATAATAATAATAATAATAATAATGATAATAATAATGATAATAATAATGATAATAATAATAGTAATAATAATAATAATAATAATAACAATAACAATAATAACAATAATAATAATAATAATAATGATAATAATAATGATAATAATAATGATAATAATAATAATAATAATAATAATAATAATAATAATAATAATAATAATAATAATAATAATGTTGATGAATAGATCTGAACTTTTTGAAGAACTTCCCTCTTCCATCATTCCTCGCAATCTCTCTGTGTGTGGTGCGTGCTAGCGCCGGCATGAGGGCCTGCCCCGCGCTTCCGATTTCTTGCTCGCCGCGAAGACTCCTCCTTCCTGCCCGTCACTGCCACCCGCCGCGCAGCGAATCTGCTCCCCCCTGGCGAGCAAAAAGAGAAGCGAACCGCCTCGCCGCTGACGGAAAGGGTCTTCTGCTTGTCGCCTCGCGTCGCCGTCTCCTCGGGCCTTCTGCTCTGCTGCACTCGCCCGTCGCGCCAGCCATTCATATTCATTAGGTTGCAAGACGTACACAAATTCCGAAGTTGCAGGGGCGGGAGTTCAGGAGTGGAAGGCATTAACGTAGCTCACCTAACAGAGTATCTGCTCGTCAGAAGAATTCTCCGCCTGCTTTTGAGAGGGCGTGACGTACCACTGATAATTTGCACGTTTTAATACACTTCTTATTTGGTTGTGTTTTCCAAAAAGTTTTGCGTGTTGCCTGTGGGCGATATTCACCTTCTTGATGAATAAAATAAAATAAAGGCCGATGGGTGACTACAGGGCGTGGAATGGTCATTAGAGAGAAATACGAAATACAGAGTCGCTTGTTGCTCATTTACAACGTCGAGAGGGTCACAACTATGTTTACTGTAAAAGGCGTGTTTTTGATATAGGATTTGACACAGTTACAACAGTTGTGACGTCAAAGAGTTGTCTGACGTATTTTCGGTGTTTGTTCTTATGTCTGTAATACTTAACAGCCAGTTAAATTATTGTTTTCATCTTGTTGTAAATGAACATGTCGTTTCTGTTTCCTTCTTTTCTTTTTCTTACGATATTTTTGTTTTCGTTGTGCCAGATGCCACTGATTGATTTTGGAACGTCATAGACTTTGATAAATCTACTTCAACCAGTAGGTGAAAGGTAACATCACTTCAGTGACGACGACTATATCCCAAGTTCAGACTCTCTTCATTAATATTCATTTCATTTAACATAAATATTCATTAATTTATACACGTTTTAGTATGAATGTGGCATTGCTTTCTGTGCATGAAGGCACTATTAAGCACTGAAATCTTATGCCACTATATTCAGAGTAAGCTCAAAATAGATTTAGAGCGTAATACAATCAGCATACGTAGAATAGTGAACTTGGTGAGGTAAATATTCATGTACATAAATTAAATACTGAAAGATGAATGACGGAGAATTCATCATAATTATTCATACATTTCATATTGCCAACTCTCTTTTTTTTTCGTCTGTCGTATTTTAGCTGTTTGTGAGTCATGCTGGCCATCGTTTTACAGCAAAATGCAGTAAATCTTAATTACTAGAAGGATACCAATTGAAAATAAGTTTTACCCACGAAATACTTCTAGAAACGTCAAGCTAGCGTGACAAATTGTGCAAAATTATGAAGAACATTCAAAAACTGAAACTGAAAATTTTATTCGATTACAGTTTCAGCAATATATTTCAGAAGAAAGGTCTATTTCGGTCTCAATATTGAAACTTTTTGTAAAGTTTTCTGTTTGATGTCTTGCAAGAAAAAAATAAAATAAAACAAAAAAATAATAAACCCCCTCGGATAAACCTTGTGTAAGTACTTCCGGTAAAGAGAAATTCCCCCTTGCCGCATCGTGAGTGGAGGCGGCTGCGGTGGCGGCGGTAACGCCCTCCACGCGTCTTCGATGCGGGAGCCGCGACCGATGCGATGAGCGGGGTAAAAATAGCGGCGTTCACTGCCGCAGCGCGCGCGCCCTCGGCTGACAGCGGCGAGATGAGCCTCGAACTGCGTTGCAACGGCGCGCGGAACGCTTTCTCACCGTCGAGTATGGAGGGGCCAATGTTCAAGGAAACGGTAAAGGTGATGGTAATTTTCACATTCAACATTGTCGGAAAGTATCGTTTAGTTAACGTATTAAGTGTTAATGCGTTACTTTTATCGTTCTCTGACAATACAATATATTCCGTATAAAATTAATAATACAAGTTATAATAATAATAATAATAATAATAATAATAATAATAATAATAATAATACATTACAATCCCTCGTACTTTTAACATCTTGTCCAGGGAGTTAAGGTGCAGGTACAAATGAATGCTTATGGGAGACATGACGCCAGAAAACCAACAAAATAAAAGTCACTTGTTTGTAGGTATTCAGTATAAAAATATTTACAATGGGAAAGAGATGAACAGGTTGATTGAAATAAAATGTATTTGCACTGGGGGAAGACATTAAATGTTTGGTTCCTAGGGAAATAGTCTAGGAGAATGAATTTGGTTTCATTATTTAAGTTACACAAATGTTATGCATATACAATATTTTTTAAATAACAGGAGTTATTTAATGCGGAATTATAATTATTGTACCAAAAATATAATTGAAGAATGCATTTACGAATCTAGATACAAATATCTGTACTTATTGTGGTAATCTAAAATAGTATTCCAGTGATTTCAATTTATATTTAATATCTCCAAAGTATTATTAATTGAATTTATGGATTTTTATTATATTAATGCAATGTTTTCAAATGATTTTAATAATAAATAAACCTCCACATTAATTATTTTCTCTCAAAGCATTTCTGAGACATTTTCCAACATCGGAAAGGCATACTGCACTGCAGTATCGTGGTAGTGGCAGCTTTCTTTCTTACATCAGCAACTTATTTTTAACCTAGCTTCTGGTTCTTTTCGTTTAAGCTCTGAAGAGAGCATAGTGAAATCCAATGGGATCCTTTATTTTGGAGGAAGATCGTCTGAAAAGAAAACTAGCACGAATTTGAAGTTATACCTCTTCAGATAGTGATTCCTGAAATAGTACCTCTTGGCATAATTTACATGAGCGCGTATAAAAAAATGATGTCCCCACCCTCACCTACCTTATGAATCCCCCGCCCATAAATACAATACATTACGATGTAAAAATCATTAACAAGTGTATCTGAAAAAAATATATGATTCCCTTTATACGAGTATGATTATTAATTATTCGATATGTGATAGCTTAACTTATAAGGCAGCTTATTTATATCGATAAAGTTTGTATTCGCCGAGCATTGAAAATTTCAAACCAATAGGTCTTGGAAACTTCTTGAAATTCCTCTGTCAATTTATCAAATAACTTCCCCCAACACTATATCGAAATTCTTGAGAGAACACCGCATTCCTGGAGAAAACCCGATAGCTGCCTGCGCTTGGCTCACAGGGTCAGGAAAGCATTGGGAAAGCTTGTACGCGCGCGCGATAGAAAGTGCTTATTAAAGCACGCGGTGTATTACCGGGCTGTTGAAACGGGCCGCTCGTGTGGGTACGGAGGCGCGGTAATTGGCCTGGGGGGAGGGGGCGGGCACGGAGGTCAACGGCCGCGGGCGTCGCGACGCGCAGCGCCGCACCGGGCCCCCGCGACGCGGCGCCTGTGACGCGAGCGCGATGCTGATTTCGGCGCCTGGGTTGCGCCATGCGCAGCCACACGTCAAGCCAGCGTAACAAGTTGTGCAAAATTATGAAGAGCATTCAAAAACTGAAGCTGAAAATTTTATAGATTACAGATTCAGCAATATATTTCATGAGAAAGGACTATTTCGGTCTCACTCTGGGTCGCGCCATGCGCAGCCAAACGTCAAGCCAGAGTAACAAGTTGTGCAAAATTATGAAGAGCATTCAAAAACTGAAACTGAAAATTTTATTCGATTACTGTTTCAGCAATATATTTCATGAGAAGGACTATTTCGGTCTCACTATTGAAAAGTTTTGTCGAATGGACTGAAAATCGTAGAATTTGGAAATCTTTTGGATCCTTTTTCAAATGAAATTTTAAGTCTAATGTTTCAAAAGGAGTCTAGAGATAAATAAATAAATAAATAAATAAATAAATAAATAAATAAATAAATAAATAATGGGCTCCAAAACGTTAAGAAATTCTTACTTTGTCGTGTACTTCGTATAAAGTTGTGTAATGCTGCAAGGAAAAGTGTGAATATTTTGACAGAAAAAAAGTATTGTGGCTCTGTTATAGCGAAAAAGTGTTTTTGCTATCAGAGCTTCGTGTTTGCAGATTGTTATTCCAAAGTTATATTAATGCTTTTGAGATGCTGGCTGAGTGTCGAGTTGCAGTTGCCAGCAATGTTTTACACGATTTGTCTATTAAAATGCAGGCAAAATTCCAATTCGAATCAGTTTACACAGTACTAAATGTAGTTTTAAATGTTGTTTGTAACTAAATCATTTGAAAAGTTCACTCATTGGAATTTGTTATTACTAATGTATTTTTAAATTTTAGAAACATTCATTTTAAAAGAATGTTTAACATTTACAAAAACAAGGTAATTTAACGCTAGTCCAATGCCAATTTAAAAATAATGTTACATAACAGTTGGGCGTTAGTAAATATTACATTCATTCTATCCAGGCATTTAGTTCTGGGTAATCCACCGAAATTAAAGTATCCCACAGAACAAGGTGGACAGCTGCATTGTGGTTTGCGGTTTCGACACTTACGATGTAAAGTCATGCGCACCACAACGCAATCGACTGCGAAAAAGTGCTGTGGTCTGTTTGCATGTCATTCTGCTTGAAACGAAAACCTCTCGCCTATGGATGAGTTGACTCGCTAATATTAGATGGTTATTTAAAATATAATCTGTCCTCCGTGAAACCACATTTTGTTCGCAGAATTGTTAATTGCACGTTTACGAACACTGTAGTACAGAAGTTTATCGTCATTTCGTTGCAGTGTACCGCATAGAAAGCTGTTTTAGCCACGCACACCGCGAAGTACCTCTGTACTTGCTGACTCAATCATTTGATTAACACGGTTGTCAGTCAGGGACGGCCAGATACAAGTTAATCTCCTGCCGGCGATTTCTTTCGCTGTGGATCACCTTTTCACCTCCACATCGTCTCTTCAAAACACCCCGCTCCACGCACTTGCAACTCTATCGATCCCCATCACCAAGATATTTTCCTACCCCTCTCAAAATATTCTCGATTCTACCGTTACACTCCCCCAAATGTCTCTGATAGACTCCGCTTCAGTTCTCCTTGTACTGTGCCTCCTAACGTGACCTTTCAATTTTTAGATCCTCTGACTTCGCCCCCTATCCCTTTTCTGCCATCCCCACTCCCCCGCCCCCGCTGCGTCGCCCATCCATTACATCCCCTCCGTTCCCCTCCCTCTACCATTTCACGCCGTTGCCGCGAGCGTTTTGCAAATGCCGCCGTGCCAGCCACCCGTCGGGGTTGACGCCGCCTCAGCCACGCCGGATTAACCCACATCGAGGCGCCCGCGGCCGCCGCCCCTGAATTGATGACGCTTGGCGCCCACGCTTGCCAACACGTGGCATCCCCCAACGCTATCACGATTACCACTACCACCACCTCCACCACCACCACCACCAGAAGAATCACTACTACGACTACCATCATCATTACGGCAACCACCACCACTACCACTACTATCACCATTACCGCTACCACCAGACGAATCACTACTACTGCCACCATCATCATTACGGCAATCACCACCACTACCACTACCACCACCATTACTGTTATCACCTTCACCATTACCGCTGCCGTCACTATATCACGACCACTATCATCATTGCTACTATTACTCGCGCAACTTTTCTTGAATGATGACCTTGCTTCAACCCTCTTCTGGCCACAAAAAAACAGATGAAGCACAAAGAGCTCGCAGCAGAGCGCCATCTGACGACAACATTCCATAAGACACAATGCATTAATCCAGCCTGGCGCGCGAAATAGAAGCAGTTTCTTTCTGAAGCACGAAAACTGATCAGTATTATATCTTCTACAAAAATCTAAAGAAATTACCGAACGCCAGACCAGATACGAATCTACCCCACAGCAGGAGATGAACTCGAACTCGCGCATGAACTCGAGTCATAGAAACGCAAATTATTGAGAAACGCTTAGGAAGCGTGACTGAATTCTCCAGAGATTGGCCATTCTCGCTTTCGTAAAAAAAACTACAGGGTGACCGAATTTACGTAACTAATACCCCCACTCTAACCCCGCATAATTCCCTCAAATCCATAACGTCAAGAAAGAGTATGCGCGAGTAAAACTACCCATCACCCGACCTTGCTACCACGTCGCCACTCCGCGCCCATACTCACCTTGTCGCCTCTCACAATGCATCCAGTCCTCCTCCGCCAAACGTCGCGCTATACAAACCCCGGTTGACATACTCTTGCGCGCCCATCCCCCCTCTACACACCGCTCCCCACCCCGCAGTACTTTGTTACAAAGCACAGCCCTGGTTCCTGCCGCGTATCTCGTCAGTCCACAGCTTACGCGAAACGCGCCGGCCTGGGGTCGACAGCTGCCGCGGCACCTCGGCCTGTGCTCCGCCACACATATCAACATACAATTTCTGTGCAGCGAACACGCGATGAGACGCGTACGAACAAGTACCAGGTTTGACTTTCGTAACCCCCATTTCATACGACTGAGCGCTTGCCAACCGCTAGCACCAGACGATACTTATCTTCATGTGTGGTGCGTAGACAGACTTCAGTCAGTCTGCGTTCCGCGCCTACGCCCACCTCACACGACGCCCACCGCCAACCCCACACGCGCGCCTCATAACAGCTTCCGTCAGTGAACCCCCGTCCCTCGAATCAGGGTCTTTGTCCATTTCCCTGATCCATTGAGCAAAACTGCTGAGATGGCCCCTTTGTTTTTTGCTTCTGGACGTAAATATAGTTCACTAGGCCCAGGGTTTTGTTGATACTATCCTTTGCTTGCAGTGGTACGAGTAGAGCTGAGGTTGAACGTTGCTATTTGTTGGCAATTACAGAGGAATCGAATCTGGGTTCGTTTGCCAATGCAAATAAGTTTTCTATTAATTGGGAACGAGAATTATCTAGTTTCTACAAATGTTGACTAATCTCGCACTTTTAAAATAATATTATTATATTGTTATTATTACCAATCGTTATATTATTAACTTTTCTCAATCTTTCAACTATTTAGAGCTCAGTGTTGGGAAAGGGTTCTGGCGAACTCAAGTAAACGTGGCGCAGATGATTTTCTCCCACACCACGTTCCCATGAGAGTTTTTGTACAATTTTTTTTTGACTAAATAAATCCAAACTGCACAATCTTCTATTCGTACTTCTCTGTCTCTGTCCTGGTTGCTTCTTCTTTGTCTCAATTGGTGCGACATCCAACCACCTACCATGTGCTATTCGCCGCCAACCCTCACCTGTATGGGTTAGCAGCTGCGGCTATCTTTGCTCGTATCTGTCAACAATCGGCCACATAGATATTCTGGCCGACTGCATTCGACCTAGCAATCGCGCGGATCTTGCTTTATAAATGATTCGGGGAACGAAAATACAGAAGAACATGAGTTTTGGCACGCGGCTGTTGGAACAGATTTCACATTGATTAGCTTGATTGTCGACATATGATCGCGTGGTTATTCAGGATGCCCCTCACAAAGTGCTTAACTGAAAATTGTTTTGGTGTCTGTGGGTAGAGAAATGGAGATCAAAGGCTTTGCTAAGCCAGATTGGCAGGACAAGGTCGAAGTGTGAAGCTCCCTAGGAATAGTGGGTGCATTGAGCTGGAAAGGCTGGCAACCACATGTGAGAAGAGAGAGAGTCCGCGCCTATCAAGAGGAAAGCAATGACTTAAATTCATTTAAGAGCTCTCATAAAATAAAGAATGGTTCTTAGGCAGAAGCCTCGGACTTCAGCGGGCAACAGCACAAATCCTTCCTACAACTGGGGGAGAGGGCAACATTATTTAAAAAAAACTCTCACGGTGCTTGTTAATTTTTTCAACACTTTCGCTTAAATCTATATTTTGTTTTTCCTTATTAGAAGAGAATTCGAAACTAAGTGAAATTTCAACAATAGGCTTTGTTGTAGGGGCTAACTTCATTTCGAAGAACATATTTAACTCTTTACTTCGTCAATGTGAATTTGTTTTTTTCTGATAATGAAACTGTCAGGCTCTAATATTGAAATTTAGCTTTATCCTCTTTCAGAGAAAATTCAATTTTTGGACAATGTTGAACGTTATTTATTAAATAGTATGCAGAAACATCGAAGGAGACGGTAATTTTGACGTATTTTTCATAAGCACATGCTCTCGGCTTTGCTGTTTGAGGTTGAACCTATTTCACTATCTGCATAGTATTATCTATGCTATTAAGTTGCGCGATACACAGTGGTATTTGTGGTGTTTTGACGACTCTTGTGTTTGTACGGGTACTTGAAACGTTGACTTTAACATCTTTCTTGATACGTTCCTGCTCCTCTGAAATAGTCATTCGCTGGCATGCCACATGTTTGCTTCATCTCATTTGCCTCCGCGTTCGCTAAGATAATCAAACGGAGAGGGAAAAACCAAGCATTCCTAATATCAGGACCAAAATCCTCGTAATGCATTTGTGCTTTGTTAGGAATGTTACTAGAAATCATAATACATTGTTATACTACACTCAAAATCAGACCGCGCTGTCATAGGTCGTTGTTCCTTTGGGAGAAACACGTAACTTGCCGTTTCCAGTTGCTAATTTGTTGTTCCCTTCATCTGTTTCTCTCATTGCATTACTTCGTTCGTTGGCTGCAATAGTGGTACAGCTCTCAAAATAAATAAATAAATAAATAAATAAATAAATAAATAAAATGAACTTGAAGTTTTCACTTTGTATTGAAATATTTCATCATTCTTTCATTCACACTTCAGCTATTTGTTGGTGTAATTCTGTACTGATAAGAAATGCTGCTGGAAGGTAGATCAATCTGCAATTCTCGAGAGTGCATTAACTCAAAATTCGTATTTTTTGAGTTGTGCCACTAATGCAGCGCACGAGCGACCTACTGTTCCTTATTTCGATACAAAAGTTTGTCCCAAGTAAAATCTTTTCTGCTGCACAGCTGTTTCTATACAATTAGAGACAATACCGAGCATCAGAAAGAAAAGTAATATTAATTTTAACCATGACATTTAATGTATTATATACCATTTGGATTGTATAATTGTAAATAACCTGTAACAAGTATTGTACTTCAGCTTCTGGGTCAATGACCATCTCGAACAGGTTTTCGTCCAGTTTCCCTGATCCTCGAGCAAATGCTGAGATGGCCCCTTGTTTTGCTTCTGGACACAAATGCAACTTCAAATTAACTTCTCCCCGTAGCACGTCTCACACAGTTTTTAACTGTTTTTGACAATAAATAAA